CGAAGGGGCGGCACGACGGAGGCAAATAGAAAGAATGGTATCGGTGTGAGGACATGCAAAGCGTGTGGAAGAGCGCTTGTGCCAGCCTCAGCACCTTCACCCTCCCGTGGTGGGGGTAAGTGAGGCTCCCTCGCGTTCGTCTGTGCTGTTCCTATAACCTTCATTACAGGAAGTTAGAGGCAAAAACGTACATCTAAAATCAGAGACACCAGCTCCGCAGTTGTTACAGAGGAGATGGAGGCTTCCTTTCCCAGAAACTAGTGGCAGAAACAGGCCATAGGCCTAAGAGCATTTCAGAACATTACCCATGGCGGTAGTTCATTAAATGGCTAAGTTATTTGGGAGAAAGCATTAGGAAGAAGTTGCCATTAGGAAGAAGTTGCACAGAGTGAAATGCATAGTGGGATGTTAATGGTCTGGATGGTGGAAGGCTGCGTGAGGGTACAAGCTGGCAATAGCCCACTCTTAGTGTGCTCTGTGTGGTCTGTGTATCATAAAACCTGGGCTTGTTTTAGCCAGGTTGGACGAAGTCTTGGGCAACATGATCTATTGTGAGGTGTCCTGACCATGACAGGGGTTTGGAAGTAGATGATCTCAAGGTCCTTTCCAACCCAAACCATTCCATGATTAACCCTACCCTTACGTAAGTTTCCTCAAACTAACATTTAAATCCACAGAGGGAAGTCCTAGAATATATCACTAGCACACAGTCCTCAACTAACTTCTCCTTATGGGCGAGTTATAGAGAGATGCTGAAATCCAGAACAGACCAAAAATCAGTATATGTTGTCACATTTCTAGGTCAGGTAAAACAAGCTTTTTTGAGAAGGCTTAGTTTACACATTTATTTACAGTTATACTGTGCTGTGAAGTTATTAAGACTCTCCACATTGAGATAATATCTAAAGCATATCAGAAATTCCCGATACAGAAATACATGTATGAAGTTTCCAGGTAACAGAATTAAAAAAACTTAAAAAAACTGCCTCATCAGACCACATTCATGTCAAATTACAAACGATGCAGCAAGTCACATGGAAATAGCTATCTAATTACCAGTACAATTTACCAACCCCTACAGAATTCCAGTGCAATGCTGTTGTTTGCAGTGGTGAATGTTTCCATCTCAAGCCCGCAATCTTTATGTCTCCAAGCACAATTTTGCGTAAGATGGACAGAAACCTCTTACTGCCGCCTATATGCCAAGAGTCCACAATCTGTTTAAATTTCACAACTAAAATTTTTTCCTGATTATTTAAAAATGGGCTAACCCTTCTGTTAAAACACAAATATGGAAAAATGATTCAAAGCAGCAGTAGTTTGGAAAAAAAATTAAAATTATAAAAATATAAGTTATTTTTAAAAATAAGTTTTAAAGTTCACAATGGTTTAGATTAATACAAGTAAAAAGTGAACTGTATATTCAGTAATAAACTGGTTCATAAACATGAATCAGTTTTAAATTAGGGACTTAGAAAGCCTCCTGAAAATAAATCATTTTTCTCTTTAATTCTAAAATAATTCCTAGCTTTGTGTGGTATACAGGTAAGCAGTGGTGAAAGCGGTGCATCAACCATACCTGGAGAGAAAAGCAGATAATTAGAGCTTAATCCAACCAATATTTATCTTTCATAACTGTTCTAAAACTAAACCACAGCTTCAATATGTATGTACAAACTAGTAATTCTAAGAACAAACCGGTAGGTGTTTAGACAGAAGTTTTTACACTGGTAATATTTTTATTCTACTAAATTTCTATATATTTCTAAACAAACTAGAAAGGTTCTCCCTTATTCAACATAGAAGCAGAATGTAAGATGACAAATATTTAACTGTGGATTTTTCCTCCACTTTATAGAGTTGGAACACTTACTCGTTGCTGCCATGGATTTCAGTGATTCTAAGAGATCTGGACTAGAAAACTTGACCAGACATCTGAATGGTTCTTTTTGATGCAAAACACCCAGTTTGGGATCACTTTTAAACATCGTCTCAAGCTGTTAACACAAAATTTAACCAGGTAGTATAAGCAATAAATATTTTATATATCAAACATTAAAAATGTAGTATGTAGTAAAACTGTTGTCTTACGTATCACTTCTAATGTTAATATGATTCCAGTTGCAGAAATATTTTAATGAAATCAGAGGATGCCACCATGTGGTCAACAGTTTTCTGCTGAAAGAGGCAGCTTGGTGAATAAAACTGTGAGCTACTGTCTCTTAGAATTTCTAATATATCTGTGCAGATAAAAATCCATGCATCATCCAAGAAGTTAAGTTACGGTGTTATATATGTAGCCTGAGCTTTGTATGAGCTTCATATAACCCTAATTTCTCATGCTTTAGTATACTATTGGTGTAAGCCTACCTTTATTACAAAACCAAGTAAAAACTCTGTTCACCAGGCTGACAAACTAAAACATGATCTGGTAGTCTGACCAAATCTCAATGCAAATCTGTTTTTTGAAGATACTTCAAACTAATTTAAAATGTGCTCCCTACAGTTAAAAAAAATTCACTATTCCTTCAATTTGCAATTTAATGTAGCTGCCACTACAATAAAATGATAAACACCCCCCCCCCCCCATTATTTTTTCCCGCCACCAAAAAAAAAGTAAAACCCCCCCCCCCCCCCAATTATTGGCTTTAGTACCTTATATTGTGCATATTCAAGTTTCGGTAGGGGACCATTACCAAAAATCTCCTGATTCATTCTCTGTATTTTTGATTTCATCTTTCTGTTTTCTTGAACTGTTCTTAAATCTGCAGGGGAAAAGAGTAGGGAAGAGAAAAAACAGAAAGACAACTTTGTCAGCTGATACAGTACTGCTTTTCTCACCAGATTAGTGAAAATCTGAAAATAATAATTTTAACTAGCTTAGCAGAAAAGGATAGTGATGAATTCTTTGTCTCCATCATTTCTATTTTCATTCCTTGCCAAGAGTAAAACCCAAACTAATGAATCTCATCTCATAAGCCAGCAGAAATGACATTCAAACTGCTGTTTAATTTAAAATACACATACCACTTTCCGGTTTTACACTGTGTTCTTGTAGAGGTACAGGAGGATAAGTTTGGAAGTTCTAAATGGAGGAAAAAAAAAAAGTTTAGTTCACTTCCACTTTTAGAGGCTGTAGCTGAAAATATTTCCATATTTTACTTCATTCTGAAAGTGAGCATCCTTCCAATTTTCGACAATTGCTACAAGTCAGAAAGCCCAGCTTTAGGAAAAGAACACCCGTCCTGTGATATTTGTGAACATCTTCCTATTTGTGGGTTTTACATGGATGAGCAGGGTAAGCGCCTATTCCAATAGCCTTCGACTCATTGCTGTAGGAAGCCTAGTGAAATGATGCTAAGAAATCCAAGGACTGGATTGTTCATACAATTTTTAGACTGAGTTTAACCATCAGTAATAACATCAAAGAGTAGGTGGGTGTCGTGGTTTAAGCCCAGCCAGTAACTTGGAACCACGCAGCTGCTCGCTCACTTCCCCCCCTTTTCCTTCCTCCCCCTGCTCCCGGAGGGATGGGGAGGAGAATCGAAGGAATGTAACTCCCACGGGTTGAGATAACAGCTCTCCAGTAACTAAGGTATAATACAAACCACTACTGCTACCAATAATAATGATAAGAGGAATAACAAGGGAAAAGGACACAACCGCTCACCACCCGCCGACCGATACCCAGCCCGACCCGAGCAGCGATCTGGGCCTTCCGGGTAACTCCCCCCAGTTTCTATACTGGGCATGACGTGCTGTGGTATGGAATACCCCTTTGGCCAGTTTGGGTCAGGTGTCCTGCCTCTGCTTCCTCCTGGCTTCCCCTCCTCTCTGGCAAAGCATGAGACTGAGAAAGTCCTTGGTCAGAGTAAACATTACTTAGCAACAACTAAAAATATTGGTGTTATCAGTGTTGTTCCCAGACTGAAAGTCAAAAACACAGCACTGCACCAGCTACTAAGAAGGAGAAAAAATGACTGCTGTAGCTGAACCCAGGACAGTGGGATGTTAAGTAATTACATCCCTGCTGTAACATTACCTTAATAAAAAAGGTTGTCTGCCTCAGTAGTTCAGTATTGTTTTAACTTGGTGGCCTCTTGTAAGAGGTGAATTTTACCCCTTGCTTGTGGTTGAGAACTAGGCCTGAAATAAAAGGCAAGATTTATCTTAGGATATATTTATGAAGTGGCTCACCTGGTTATATCTCTTAAACACAATATCTTTAAGGGAGTTTAAAGCATGACTTCGAAGCTCCATTGCACGGATGTGATGGTAATTGGAAGCAGCAACCAGGGCCTTCAAATAAAAATTTAAATTGTTTTAACATCAGCCTTACTTATCACTATGTTTGTAATACAGAAAAAATACAGTATTTCTGGACATGGTGGTGGCTGTGTTACAAGGTAAGCAACTGTGTGCAACCAGCAAAATTCTCATGTCTGAGAAAGTGTTAAACAGACTGTTATTAAGCTTAGGTTAATATTTAAAAGCATTCACAGGATTAACCAGATAACTCCTATAGCTTTACAAAGCTGAAAAACCAACAGATAAATAATTACTAGCCCAGAATTGTGCTAAATAAAGAAAAAAAAGAAAGACTATTAGTGCTGATCACCACGAGTTAACAGAAAATGTCTTTTAAAACAAATTAATAGCATTCCCCCATGAGCTCATACATTTAGTTCTTGAAGTAAACTGTTGATGTAATAGTCTTCAACTTCCATGAGACAATTTAACTGAATGCTGCCTAACAATTGGTTAATAAATTAGAACAATTCAAGGTCAGCAAAAACCCCAGTAAAATGACTTTATTCATGAAGCACCATTCCAAAGGTTGGAAAGATTCATTTTTGCCCCATTCTTACCATGAGCTAAGGGGAAAAACAACTATGTAAATGAGTAAGTTACATCAAGAGACAAAACTTTACGCATCCTCTTAAAAGGTAACACAGTTACAGCTCTATATGACTGTGGTGAAGTTAGAGTCTACAGTTTTATTCTGTACCTGACAGAGCAGAGGCAAGTTGTGCTTAAGCACTGAGACAGAAACAAAGACGTATGGAGTCTGTGAATGGTATACAACATAGCTGGTTTTGTACTGGTTTGGTTTTCTATATGGTGTTCCCCAGGCAATTCGAATCCAGATTGCATTATCCTCATATTCTTTAAAGTTGATGGTGACCTAATACAAAAAGAAAAGCTTTGATTTACCAGTACATTTAGGTGTCCATAAAGATTTTGTTCTCTCTTAACCCTGTATTCACACGACTCAAATATAATTTAGTACATGACTGCTTGAATAAGAAACAAATCCCACTAGTGTGGTCAGGATTGTATTTAATCAAATTTCTACAGAAGAACAATAACCTTACAAACAGGGGGGGAAAAACCAAAAACAAAACAAAAAAAGAATAATTTCAGACTCTTAATTTGACTTTCCTTCCTGTTGATACACACTTTCTTTCGAAGGGCAAAATAAAAACAGCTTATTACAAAAGCCTCGATTTCTCTAGGGAAAATAACACCACAATAAAAAGGTGTCTATTTAGATGGAGGGCTGGTGGCAGTATTTCCATTATGTCTAATTTTTGAGGAACCAAACTACATACAAGACCTGTATATAATATTTATCACTACTCAAGAATACAGTCAGAAATTTGAAGACAACTCCCTTTCCTGTTTTGTAGATTCGCTCCTTGGTTGCTTCTTTTTACCTTGACTCAATCTTGGTGACTTAAAGAGTGTGAAAACTTTCTTAAAAAACCCAACCAACCAACCCTCCCTTTGACTGAGGTACAGGTTTTAGTCCATCCAAGTCATAAAATGCTTAAATTGCTGGACCAACATAACTTCTCAAAAGTTGGTGCATTTTAAGAATTTAATATTTAACATAAAATATTGCAAAACTTTATTTTAAGAGCTGTATGAACTGCAGTTTATATGTTAGTCTGCATTGTATTTGTTGCCCTCTACCGGTGTCACTGGGAATGCTTTGTGCGTCAGGCAGTACCACAGCAACTAGCCAGAGGCAATTTCTGTTACCTTACTTAAATGAAGCTGGGGAGCTAAAGCAAGAAAAGGCTTCTGCAAATTGCTTAGTAAAAAAAATGATAGTATTTCCTTTCCACTCATTTCTGTAGTCTAGAAACTGCTTCTTGTTACTGACAGTGATCTTTCAGTCATTATAATGTAATTAAATACCTAGGGGCTAGTTCTCACAGCCATCACAAATTATTTCTAAACAAGAACTAAAAAGAAATAGATACAATTGTGCTACAAATCCAAGTCATAACATCTGAACTTCCTTGTCCCGCTTACTGGCTAATTCAAATTCTCTTTGTACTCTGTCTGACTTTTGTTGTTGGTTTATTGTTACTGGGTAATGGTATCAGCTTACCTAGGCAACATATACACTCAGACAGGGTAAAGATTTGATAGAAAACATAAATGCGCCACCTTTCCTGAGGCCAGTCCTGTTTTAAGTCAATTTTACATTTTATTTCACTCCAGCATAGTTGTAAAGTTGCAAGAGCAGATAAACTGTATTGCCTGTTTCACATGCAGTTCCCACCATTCCTAAATGATTAATTCTATTTTTGATGCAGACTAAGGAAAAAAAAAAAAATCCCAAACCAACCCACAGAACACATTGCTAAAGTTACAAAAACAATCTATTGACAGTAGATCTGTGTAACACATTTAGAATGTATTTATTCTTACGTTTCCCAAGGCTGAACGAAGCTGTCTTTTAAATTTTTTTTTGAAATGTGTTATGTCAAAAAAATCCATTTCTTTCCCTGTTACACAAAAAAAAGGAAAAAAAACCAAGAATTGCGTTTACAAGAGCTAGGTCAGAGATATTTTTAGCTTTGCTAAAGTAAAATCAAGCAGAAAAAGCCTTATACAAAAATCTGTGTATTAAATTTGAGCCCCTTCATTGCTCTATAAAGTTTATTATTTAATTAGCAGTTATTAATTTGGAATAATTGCTTGAGCATTTAATAGAATGTATTCTAAAAATATTAAAGATACGTTGATTGAAAGATCCATGCTAGACTATAGTTAAATGTTGAAGATGTCTACTGAAAAAACTCATAGTGGACTAGATTAGTGTTTAAAATGTATGATATGGGGTAGCACTGCAGTAAGTTGCCAAGGACATACAGCAGGGAAAGACATCTTACCTGTTTTGTTCATCTGGTAAACATTCCACATTCTCTTGTGTGGGTAAACATGGTTGTCTAAGAAAAATGGGAATTGTTCAATAACATAGTGTATTACCAAATAGTAATTAAAGGAACAAATAATTTTACAGTACTTATGACCAGGTTATTTAAATAAAAATAGTTACTTCTGATAAACTTATACTACTACTCATAGCAAATCTAAATGCAAAATATTTTTTATTAAACAAGATGGAGAGATCTGTTGTAATACAGTTAAGCAACTAATAAAAGTTATCCCTGAGGTTCAATGTTTAAAGAAGAATTCTACCTAAAATGACCAAAACTCAGTCTAAACTCAAACTAAGAAGCATAGGCAGGTGTGTGGCTTACCACAGTCTAGATCTATTTAGATGTCAGAAGCAGCAAATGTACTTTAGTTGATTTTCAGCTTCAGGTTTTACTTTTTTCTTTTTAGAAAAGGTCAGATCCACTAAGATTCATCATCTAAAATGCAATCTCTATCAATTTAATCTGTACCTCTCCTGGGCAATTGCTACATAATTAAGGGTGTTATCAAGTTATTCAGAAAAAATACAAAGATGGTATTTTCAATAACTTTTTTTTACTTACAGATTATGTCTAGGGCAGCTGCTTCCTTTATGTCTGCAGACTTTTCCTAGAAAGAAGAGTAACAGAGTACAGTGAACTGCAGGTCCAGAACATTCTATCATAATGTTTAGTAAGTGAAAATTCTCAGTACTGGTAATTCAAATAACACTGCACTGATGTCCTCGGCATGTACATTCTGCTGAGACACCATACCTGGTCCCAATATGAACACAACATAGTTTTGAGAAATCAATAAAGAAAGCTATTTCATCAAGGTTCAAGTGTTCCTCTGCAGAGGCAGCAATAATGTTGCCCATATGCTATGATGTACAAGCTATTAGAAACTAGAATGAACAGGTCTTCATGACATGATGCAACACTGATTAGTATTTCACTGTCAGGTATTCTAACATGATAGGTTTCTCCTTATGTAACCTTTACAGCACAAAAACTTTCTTAAGAAACTTTAGAACACCACTTGTTACATATAAGTTTCAGAAACAAATGCCATTTTAAAATATTACATTCGCTATCTTACATGAATAACTCAACAATTTCTTGCCTGCAGTTTGAGCTCAACTCCACATGACTCATCTTTGAGTATGAAATTCATAGCAAATGATACCAAAAGCTACAGAATTAAGGATATCAGCAATAACTGTATCTATCTGAGTTATATATATATGATGAGGTGGGCTTGAGAGGTGGGCTGATGCCAACCTCATG